GAACCGACTCGACAGCACTTAACAACAACAACAACAACAATCACATTCTTATACCTATGTTGTTGTTGTTGTTACGTGCCGTGGAGTTGGTTCCGACTCATCGAGACCCTATACAGGGTTTCCGAGGCTGTAAATCTTTATGGGAGCAGAAAGCCTCATCTTTCTCCTGCGGAACAGCTGGTAGGTTCAAACTGCTAACGTTGAGGTTCGTTTATACCTATGGCTCCTCTAAAATACTGATGCTGTCACCTTGCTAAGTCTTGTGGCTGGTTCTTAATTCTTATTTATTTTAACCAATATGTAACATTTCACACAGTTGCTCACTCATTCATTCTTGAAACACTTCCTTCACTATGCTTCTGAATTACCCTCTTATTTCTATGGCCACTCCTATCCCTTTAGCTGATTCTTTCTCATAGGCTGAATAATGGCCCCGAAATTGTGAGTTAATCCTCGGAAGCTCTGAATATGTTACTTTATATAACAAAAAGAATTAAAGATAAGTTTTCCCAACTAGAAATAGTATTCAAAATGTTTATTATTTTCATATTAATCAGTTTTGATACACATATGATCACTAGTAGATTTATGCTCTGAAGTACAATTTTCTAACATGAAAACCCATTCAATTTGGTCAATCTAAATCAGAAAATCAACTTTATTAAATTATAAATTTTAAAACGTAGATATGTTGTTAAGTGCCTTCAAGTCCTCCTATAGGGTCGCTATACTTAACAACAACATTATTGTTATCGAGTCAAGATATATATAGTACCATCGAGTTGGTTCTGACTCATAGCGACCCTGGATAGTGTTTCCTAGGAGTGGCTGGTGGGTTTGAACCACCAACTTTGCAGTTGGTGCATTATCCTGCAGCACCTCACCAGGACTCCAAACATGGCTATTATGGCTATATATATACATATATACATACAAAGAGAGAGTCCTGGTGTGGGGCCCTGGACTGCAAAGTCTGTTTGAACTAAAAGGTCAGTGGTTCAAGTTCACCAGCTGCTCCTTGGGGATCCTACACAGGGTCACTATGAGTAGGAACCGACTTGACGGAACTATATATATCTTTACTTGATTTTGCCATCGAGTCAGTTCTGATTCATAGTGACCCTATATAGAGTCGTTTGGGAGGTTTGAACTGCCAACCTTGTGGTATGCAATCCAATATTGACCCAACACTATAAATCCAAAAACAACAATATATGTATATATGTGTG